TGAGCTGCCCCCATCCACCAAAATTCGATGTACTTTCGCGTTGGCTATTTTCAAGGTGATAAGCAGCGCATCGTTATGCGGGTGGAGGAGGTGAGTCACCACGTCCTTTGAAAACTCGATCTTCGTAGACCAGTCCGCAACATATGCATGGTAGACCTCACTTTGTTCGAGGCTCGCCCTAGCTTCTCGTACATCTGCCTTTCTTTTTCTCTTGGACTCTCTCTCTATTGGGCCTCCCATTATAGTTCGAATCTCTCGAGCAGGTGACTTGTCATTCTCGCCTTTTTGTGTCGCTTTAGGGTCCTCTACATACTCTTTGAGGTACCCCCTCCGGATGAGCCTTTCCACCTCTTCCTTGAGGTCAAAACAATCCTAAGTTGCATAGCCATGATCTCTGTGGAAAAGGCAATATCGGCCTTTGCTTCGTTTAGTCGGCGGTGCCTTCATCCTCTCTGGCCATTTGAGCAACCTTTGGTCTTTGATCTCCATTAGTACTTGCTCGAGTGGAACGGTGATCGGTGTATACTTTTCGAATTTCCAAGGTGGATCTTTCTGGCTACTCCGATCTCTTTTCTCCCATCTCGACCCCTACGGCTTATCTCCCGACCTCTCCCTTTTCTGGTCGGACCGTTTTCCTTCTGGCTCCTTTTTTTAGTAAAAGAACTCACCAGCGCTCATGTACTTATGAGCTCGGCTCAACGCCTCCGAGAAGGTGCTCGGTGTCTTCTTCCCGAACGAAAATGATAAATGTTCATCCCTGATACCGGACATGAAGGCCAGTAGAGATACAGCGTCTGTAAGGCCCTCCACCTACAGCTTTTCCTCGTTGAATCGAGCTACACAGTCGTGTAGACTCTTGCTTAATAGTTAAAAGATAAGCCACGGGTCGGCTCCAACACCGTCCCCCTACAAACTAGGTCACGAATGCCCTAGCCAGRCTTTTGAAGCTCGAGATTAACCCTCGTTTTAATTGTCGGAACCATATTATGGCCGACCCGTTCAATGTGGTCGAGAACACCCGACATCTGATCGCCTCTGACACCCCGTAGATATCCATTCATTCTCGATAAGCATCTAGATGGTCCACTGGGTCGGTCGTCCCGTCGAACTGTTTCACCGTGGGTAGCTTGAATTTTGGAGGGACCTTCTCCTTCATGATCTCCTCCGTAAATTGTGAGTCGACTTGATCCAGTAGTTCTTTGAGGTCGAATCCCTTCCCCTTTTGGTTTTGTTGCTTCTCCGACAACTCTGGCCGATCCGTCGGTTTGCCTTTGTCGAGGTCTATCGGCTCAAAGTTTCGGTTATCCTAGTTGTTCTTGCCCCCGTTTGGTATCAGGGATTTATGTTGTTTTTTGCTCTTTTGGGAGTCGAAAATCTGGGTTCGTCGCCTGGTGTTTCCACCTATCTTCAGTTTGCTCCCTGCACTGTTTGTTGACTCCTTAGTCTCGCTTTGTGCTAGGCCCTTCCCTTTTCTCGGGTCTCTAACAAGGGGTACCTCATCGGGCTCTTGTTGCTCGAATTGTTGAAGGAGTTGGGTCATGCATTGTAACATGCCCTCTACCTTGTCTTCCAAGGCCGCGAACTACTTTTGGAGCAGCTCAGGGATCGTTATTCCATGCGCCTCGGGCAACGCTTCCTGACATTCCGGGTTCGATCGGTTGGTCCCATCCTCGRGTCTTCCGACCTGGGGGTCGTCCAAGTTCAACCTCCTCTTGGCAGAGCAGTTATCATTAGAGCATCATGGACTCCTTTCTGGTGGGCGCCAATTGTTGATGTGTGGATTTCGGTTCTCCGGTTCTCCTCCTCGCACACACCTAACTTGATTATTCGGGACTGATACCTACAAAACCAAATCGAACTAAACCGGTGTGACTCTTGTCACACGGGCTCCAATGCCTAAGTTAGAAAGGGAAAGTGGAGAAAGTAGTAAACTCGAGATGTCGCCTTACCTCCAGGGTTGGACCGCTACTTATAGCTGTGAAGATAATTCCAGAACCTTCCGTAGCTAAACCTTAATTCATAGTTGCAGGGCCTGAGGGAAATCATTGATCGCGGGCGGGAGACTCACGGGCTAGGCCATGGGCCAAGCCCAGCTCGAGGCCGAGCAGGGGTCGGGGTCGAGCAGGGGTCGGGACCGAGCCCTTCTCGGCCCAGTTGGTTCTCCTTCGATCGCTTACTCGTTGATCTGTAGCTTGGCTATTGTCGATTTCTGTTGCATAACAAAGTTCATTAGAGAAACCATGGATAATTGAACTCGTTTAAGGGTTGCTCRTGAAAAAGTCGTTGATGAAGCCTTTTTTAAATGTCATTGGTTTTCTGGAAAAGTTTGGGTTTTGAGAAAGAGATGAGAAATAGGGATTGTCCTACGGACGTACTAAGTTGTTCACACGAGATTTTTGGAGAAATTTGATTCGTGGAGTTAAATATACAGTTACAATAAGAGTAAACAGGTCAGATCTTGTCATAATTACAAGTAACAAATGTAAATAGAAATGGATTTATAAATCCATAAACGAGAGGTAAACTACCTCAACGATATTTGCACTTAGCTAAATATGCATAAAACCAAGCAAATCAAATACTGAGAGCTAATAATCATAAGTAAATCCATGAAGAATGATTCAAAAAATTATTTACTTAATCTTCTTCCTCCATCCATAAATCTAGAAATGAGAACCGTAAATATCTATTAACAAGAATAATTCCATAAATCTAAAAACAAGAGGTAAATATGCATAAATCGAAGGAAGCAAAATAATAATGCAAAGTTCTAAAAACTAGTTTATTCAATTTTGAAGAAGCATAAGTTATTCTCCATTTTCTAATAGAAGTAACGAAGCGTGTTTCTTTCGAAGGMTTTTTAGAGGAGGTTATAGCAGTGACCTTTATTCGTGAATCACTTCAGTTTTAATTCTTAAAAATGATTCTGGTATAGATTTACATAAATATACGCAGTTCGAAACTATTTTATATAGAAGTTAAATAATAAAAAAATTTACATTTGACGTGGTATGCATAAAATATAAATACACATCTTTAGAAATGAAAAGGAAAGAGGTGAGTGAATATTAAAAAATATAATTTTTTTTTTTTTTAAATGTAGTCCCATTTAAATCTAGATTACAAAATCTCAGTTTGTAGATAAACCTACAGACAWTCCACCATCAGCACACCATCTAAATAATGTTGGAAATCTTTGTCCGCGGGGAGAATGAAGGTCAGGTTGGAAATCCTTGTCTGCGGGAAGAACGACTCGGTTTAAAGAATGAAGGTCGGACGGAAGAGCGGAAGGAATGAGTTGGGCGGCGGTGGCTATTGCTCGGAGATGCAGAACGGTTACGGCCGAACCGGCGAACAACAAATGCAACTGCAACACGATGGACCAGGATTGGATTCAGCTGTGAATGGAATGGCACAATACCCTGCAACTGTGAACTAAAAATTCATTCACCCTTGTTCTCGTTCTTAATTAGAAGTTTTAAATTTTAAATTTAAAAATTTAGAAATTTTAAACGAAGAACAAACTATCTTACTATTAAATCTTTAGTTTCAAAATCTACCTTTTACTTCAATTTAGTTGTTTTGATTTGATTCTTCATTATTTTGACATGGTTCCTATAATTAAGCTCTCTTATTTTGTCAGTGGTAGGGAAAAAAATCTTTGTTATAGATGTATATTTGTCAAAAATAATATTTAGAATTTATTTTGATCAAAGAAATATTGTCGTAGGACCGAATTTGACCAAGTTAATCTAATCAAATGGCCCTTAAAAAGACGCGTGGTATGATTGGAATTTGTCATTATTTGTTTTTCTATTTTAACTCAGGGACGTGTTAATCTGTCATTGCACCAAATTCAATAGCATATATTTTTGCCACAATGATGTGGCAGTTTTTAATTGGCCAAAATTTATACTCCTACACGAACTTTTTTTTCTTCATATAGTGGAGATCGAATTATCAACTTTAGAATGGAAGATACTTTATCCACTAAGATACGTTTGGATTGGATTAACTCTATACTGACTTGGGTCAAAAAAATATATTGGTTGATTAAGAYGTTAAAACTAGAGCTATGGAAGTGTGACTGCCCGTCCCGTAGGGCAATTGAGTGGCCAATGTTTTATTTTTCTTCCGAGCTTTTAAATGCTATTTGTGAGATTTTTGCATTCTTTTTATAGAATATATTTGTTTAGTTCAAAAATTGTAAGATGGGGATCAAAGCATCGATCTTATAAATAGTAATAGATATCTTATCCATTCGATTTACACTTTTGATGAATAATTTTAATTGGCAACGGAACAAAAGACCTATATTGATAATAACATAAGCTTAGTCTTAATGAGCCTATAACAAAAAGCTACTCGGTATAATCACTCTTTTGAATATGTGAAAAACAATGTTAAATTACAAATTTGCTTCCTAGGATTTTGATACGGTTTAATTTAATCTCTTTGATTACATTTATTTTCAATTTTATCATTATGGTTTGTAGGTTCTCAATTTGATCTTTATAATTTATTTGAATRTCATAAATTGTTCCTATCATAACAAGATCTTATCACATTAAACACGTAATATGTTTTCTAAGCTAGTATATTAGTTAATTGTATCAAAAAGACTATTTGTGAAGATTTTCAGTGAATAGAAAATGATTTAGAGACCATTTGTGAARTTTTAACATAATCATATGAACTAAATTGAAAATTCTAAAATTACAAGGACCGAAATAAAACTAAACTCAAACGATTGAAACTTTATATCTAAATCAAATTTATAACTCAACGGAAAAAGATCTGATCATTGTATTTTAAAAAGTACAAGAACTCAATCGTGAGAACTAACCRATGTTATAATTTAATGTTGATACTTTTCAGAAGATTCCTGAAGCATTTGGAAGCCATAATTGAAGGTTGAAAATGAGAAAATATCTATGAATATTCAATGGGCCGAAACAACTCGAACAAAACAATGGGCTAACGTGGCCTCTCCCACAGYCCCTCAAAGAAAGTTGCACCAACAAATGGCATTTAATTCCACTCGATCGTGAAGAAATGTTCCCTTTTTTTTCCTTTCTTCTCAAGAAAATTCCCTGAATTCGCATGAAAACCCAACGCCCCAATTCGGCTCTATATATATATGTAATGGAACCGCCCCTCTTCTGTATCCCCAAGTCAGAAAAAAGGCAGCTTTYCCCCTCGATTCTTCGGCCTCTTCTTGAATCAAGCTTTCCCTGGAATGGGCTTGAAGTGGATTCTGAATTCTGCGTTTATGCAAGTTCTGGGGCTCACGGAGAAGCAAMAGAATCAGGAGGAGGCGCGAGAAGGAATCAAGAATGTGAAGAAGGAGAAGGAGGAGGAGGATTCTTATTATGATGGAGGTTTGAATTTCTCAGGTGGGTTCCGAATGCCCCTCCATTACCCCAGGTACACGAAGGGGGACTATGAGAAAATGGAGGAGCCCTGTTTGGATTTGCTTCTGAAACAATATGGGCTCTGTTTTGATGGAACTCTTGAGGAGAAAAGGGCAGTTGCTATTGGGACGTTCCTGTGGCCAGACCAACTCTGAATCCGCCCACCAAGTGTTTGATGAAATTCCCCAAAGAGAAAAAAAGGAACATATAGCTCTACTTTTTGAGCGTATAAATTTTGAAGCTTGGTGTTTGTATAGTTACGTTATATGGATGTGATGCTAGTTTAAGATGCGGATATATTAGCTTAGTCCTTTTTTTTTTTCTTTTGCTTTTTCAAGCTTTTGTTTGGCTGGCTCTGTATCTGCTGATCTTGGTGGGAATTTAGAGAGTCTTGTACAAATCTTGTTACATAATGGCTTATTAAACACCCTTTTATTTGCCTTCCTCATCTTTCTATCTTTACTGCGTTCTTTCTCGCTGTACAAAAATTTTGGTAGAACCAGGAGAATTTGGTGTTTGCTGTTTGTTGTTCTTCAAGAAACAGAGGAAGAAAGCAGTGAAAATATTAACCATAGTCTCTCTACATAATCTTATTGCAATATCTCTCACATAACCCTACAACATTTATGATTGCTATCTTCATTTGAAGCTTCATAAGGCGGCGGCAGCAGCGGCAGTGGAGGTCGCCACATTGGCATTGCCCAGGGGGCTGGCGGCGGCGGTGGCGGCATGAACTGCCAAGGGTACGATGGCGGCGGCAGTGGCGGCGGCGGTGGCGGAAATGGCAAGACATTGTAAGTTCTGTCAGAATAGGGAGGATGTTCAGGGCAGTCCAAAAGAGGATGTGGGTATGGATGGTCATAAGAAGTGGGAGCTTCTCCATAAGGGTAATATCTTTTCTCCACAACTTCACCATCAAATCTCATACTTTTTACCTCTGCATGTTTCCCTGAGTTTTCAAGCACTCTTAGGAAAGTTCTTGGATTCACTCTTCCACTGATTTTGACTGTCCCTTCCTCTGCATCCATTGAAATTGTATAAACACCTACAAACCAGACACAAAAGACAAGAAATGAGAAACAGAGAGCGAAGAAAGAAGAGAGAAAGAGAGGATGAAACCATAGATATTCTGGAGAATTTCATAGACTTTAGCCTTGCAAGCTTCACATTGCACACTTGAATTGAGAACACAGCTCTGTAAACAAAGTGAAAAGAGGGTTCAGCTTCAAAATAAGAAGAAAGAGGAGGAAAGAAAAGAGAAGATCTCTGATTTTGGAGCAGAACCATTTCTGCAACAGAGTAATCCATGGAAGCTCATCGATGGAGGTTTTTTGAGCTTTTTTTTTGTGGAAATAAAAAAAAAAGGGTTTTGTTGGGTTTTGAAGGAGAAGGAGAAAGGAAGAAGGATTCAAAGGTTTTAATGCCATTTGATGAAGAAGAGAGAGTAATTAAGGGAAAAAGAAGAGGGTTCAGCACTGTCATCTTCCTGTATTTGAAAATTTTTTGAGCTGTTACAGTGTTGTAACTTCAATTGCTCCTAATATCTCTCTTCTGAATGCAAAAATTTAAGAAGAAAAATTCCTCGATTGATTGTGTGATTATGAGAGATGGGATCTTCCATTTATTATAAATCCCTTTTTAAGTGCACATTATTTCTCATTTCCAAGAATATAGAATAAAGATTCCATTTTTATTTAAATTTGTAGTTTTTACTATGTATTTTATAAATAAAAATTTGAATACAATTAATAATTGTCAATTATGTTTCTTGAATAAAAAGAAAAGGAAAAAAAAAGAGTAATAGGAAACAGTTACCATAAGTGAAAGAAGTTAGAAAAGTAAGAGAATAAAATGTGTAATGAAAAATATTTTGAAAGTAATTTTTGTAGATAATCTACTAAATTTTTTATTCTAATGTTGTCAATTTAGCATAATTCAATGTTTGGATTAGGGCTCTACATTTTTTGGAGTACAAAGATTTTATAAATAATGTGCTAAAATTTTTATTTTAGGAAAATATTTGGCTCCTCACTAAYAAGGAGGGTTGTTGTCCACRCCACCATTAAATATTTGACGAGAGAAATATAAAAATACAAAAACAAAAAGTGTTTTTAAAAAATRATGAGTTGTCAAATATTTAATAGTAGCSTGGACAATATTCCTCCTAGTGAGGAGTCAAGTATTTTCCTTTATTTTAATGTCTCAATTTAGCATAATTCAATGTTTGGATCGGAGACTTTGGGACTCTATATTTTTTTAGAGTACAAAGATTAAAATGATCACTTTCTAAAAGTACATGGACCAAAAAAACATTTTGAAAATACACCGACTAAAACGAATAAAAGTTGATAATATTTTGAAGGTATGGAAACCAAAATGAACTAAAAAGCTAAAATTGAAGTGACCAAAATAGTACTTCAACCTAATTAATAATATGTAAATTAATTATAGAAAGAATATTGATTACTATTAGGTTAAAAACTTTTAGTCCCTTTGCTTTCGCTAAAGTAACAATTTAGTCCATAAACTTTAATTTGTAACGATTTAGTCCTTGTACTTTCAAATTNAGGAGGAGGAGGATTCTTATTATGATGGAGGTTTGAATTTCTCAGGTGGGTTCCGAATGCCCCTCCATTACCCCAGGTACACGAAGGGGGACTATGAGAAAATGGAGGAGCCCTGTTTGGATTTGCTTCTGAAACAATATGGGCTCTGTTTTGATGGAACTCTTGAGGAGAAAAGGGCATTTGCTATTGGGACGTTCCTGTGGCCAGACCAACTCTGAATCCGCCCACCAAGTGTTTGATGAAATTCCCCAAAGAGAAAAAAAGGAACATATAGCTCTACTTTTTGAGCGTATAAATTTTGAAGCTTGGTGTTTGTATAGTTACGTTATATGGATGTGATGCTAGTTTAAGATGCGGATATATTAGCTTAGTCCTTTTTTTTTTCTTTTGCTTTTTCAAGCTTTTGTTTGGCTGGCTCTGTATCTGATGATCTTGGTGGGAATTTAGAGAGTCTTGTACAAATCTTGTTACATAATGGTTTATTAAACACCCTTTTACTTGCCTTCCTCATCTTTCTATCTTTACTGCGTTCTTTCTCGCTGTACAAAAATTTTGGTAGAACCAGGAGAATTTGGTGTTTGTTGTTTGTTGTTCTTCAAGAAACAGAGGAAGAAAGCAGTGAAAATATTAACCATAGTCTCTCTACATAATCTTATTGCATTCCAAGCTCTCAATCTCCATAAGAATTGAATTTATTAACCAATCAATCTGAACCATCAACCATCTATATTTAATAATCAATAATTTTGACCTTATTTGATACTTTTTTTTTATTTTTTATATTACTAGTTTCTCTTTCTCTCACCTTTTTGTACTAAAAAAAAATGATTATTGTACGTAATTTACTTGCTACAAGATAAAATATAACTACTCACTTATGAAAATAAATCTCAAGCTGAATCTGAACTAAAACGAATTGTATCACGTTAAGTAGTAAACATCACTATTAACTATTTGTAAAATAATCTGAGTCGGATGAGAAGCACTTTCATGTATCCTAAAATTATGTTCTCTCCAAATGTGAGAAATATGTTGATGACAACGGTAACCCAAGTATAATTACAATAGTATGATATTGTCCGCTTTGAGCATAACCTTCACAGCTTTGCTTTTGGTTTCACTCAAAAGGCTTCATACCAATGGAGATAATTGTCCTCTCTCATATACCATGAATCAATCCATTCCCTAGCCAATGACGGACTTTGTTTGCATTTCCCTCATAAACCCAACAATCATCCCCTTAAACTAAGTACCACCGAGTCTCCCCTTGAACGAGAGTTTGCTCTTATCCAAGGCTTCCGCCATATCTTGATAGAACACACTCATGGATTACTTCATGACTAATACCTTCTGAGGCTCACCACTTCTTTTTTCGGCACCCGAAGATTTCACTGATATAGCTAGATTTAGACCATGGCTCTGATACCACTTATTAAGGACAACGATACCTTGAGTATCTCCACAATGGTATGATATTGTCCGCTTTGGGCATAACCCTGATGACTTTGCTTTTGGTTTCACCCAAAAGACCTCAAACCAATGGAGATAATTATCCTCTCTTATATACCATGGATCAATCTATTCCCTAGCTAATGTGGGACTTTGTTTGCATTTCTCTTACAAACCCAACAAAATAGCTAGAGGTGGTCCAAGAAATTGTGTATACTCTATTTCTAGGTGAACAACCTAGCTCTACTAATGCGACAAATCCATGCAAGCTTGGTATCTTATAGGCAAATACGTCAGTCCATTGAGATATGATATGCTACGAGTGAATATTTGCGACCTGAAAATTGATGTGAAGAGCTCGTCGATGCAATCATACCTTAATACAATTTGCCAAACATGCACTCAAACGAAATATGGTCCTAAGTTTGAATCTCATCATAATAAAAAAACATACTCAATTGGAGTAGAAGGACATCAAGGACATATAAAATCTCTAGTCCATAACAATCACGAATAGCCAACCAACTCAAAAAGAAATATTTAGGGATACAACCAACAAACAATACTAAGGCACCTAAGAGCCTGTAGAACGAAGGACACCTCAAGCATTGAGACAGAGAATAACCTCGAGTTCGAACCTAGATATATAATGTTATCATCATCAATCCATAGACGAAGGATCACAACTACCACATAAACTTGCACAACTAAAAAGATAAACGGAGATAAATATATGTTTATAAATGATTTTCAACCATTCCATCTTTTAATATAGTAAAGATTTAATTTCTATTCTCATCATAAAATTTTATACCTATTTTATTTTGGGAGTTCTCTAAACTTTGTATAAAATAATTATTTATTCAAGTTTCGTTCATCATTTTAAAAATTATAAATTTGTGATATTTGATCTATATTGTATACACTTATTCACAATAATTAATTGATCGGGTAAATCTACAAAATAAATGTCTAATATACTAGGTGTTTATTTTTTTATTTTATTTTATTTTTTTAGTAGGGTGAGATTCGAACTTACAATCTCAATTATGGTTGAGCTTCGTTTTGATCATAAAATAGTTTATTAAAAATAATTGATAGCAAGGATAAAAATAATATTTTTAATGCAAAGTTAACCACTAAAACAAAGCACACATTCGGGGAACTAAAATAAGATTTAAACATGTTATTTATTTTAAGGATTTTTTACTAGGCATATNAGGTTAAAAACTTTTAGTCCCTTTGCTTTCGCTAAAGTAACAATTTAGTCCATAAACTTTAATTTGTAACGATTTAGTCCTTGTACTTTCAAATTTGTAGCAATTTACCCTTGAACTTTAATATGTAAACAATTTAGTCATTGTAATTTAAAATTGGTAACGATTTAGTCTTTATCTTGAAATTTTTGTTAAGTTTCTTGCATGTATAGATTGATAAACTAAAGAGGGACCAAATATGTTCATGAATTAGAAAAATTAAATTGTTATATGATAAAATTTGACATTTAATTTTAATAAAAAAATTTTACGATAGGGACTAAATTGTTACAAATTTTAAACTACAGGGACTAAATCGTTACAAGTTAAGGTTGAGGGACTAAATTGTTACTTTAGGAAAAGTACAATACTAAATCGTTACAAGTTAAAGTTCAGGGACTAAATTGTGACTTTAGCGAAAGTACAGAGACCAAATGTGTTTTTTAACCTTACTAATACATTAATAAGTTATTTATAATTTTGTTAATTCTTTCTATTTAAACTTAATTTTTTTTAAATCTAAATTTTTAAGGAAAAAATATGTTTACAAATAAAAAAATGATAGGACAAAAACATTTTTTTTCCTAGATGTGGAATTGGAGCTGGGGTCAATTTATCGCTTTTTATAGCCCACATTATTTCTCATTTACAAGAACAGAGAATAAAGATTCGGATTTTTTTTAATATTATTTTTAATTAAACTTATTTTTAAAATAATGTAAATTTATTAAAAAATGGAATAAATCAACTTTGAAAACTTATTCCAAAAATATTGTTGTTGTAAAAAACAAAGGGGTTTGGTCGTCGTCGACCATGTTTTCCCACCTAGATGGTCGTCTCTTCATCTTGACGTGGCGCCACGTCAATTTTTTTTTAAAAACGGAAGTGTGGTCGTCTCTCCAGAGACGACCATCCAAGAGACGATTACCCGACCCGTCGGTTGATTTTTGGACGATTTGGAAAAAAATATTGTTTTATATTATATTATCCTGTCAACCCTTCCGTTCAAGTCTTGGACATACACCCGATTTTTCGATTATAAAAAATGTGTGTCCTAAGATTCAAACTTGGGATAGTAGGAATATCAAGGTAGCAGTACTCCAACTACACTAAAAGAGGTTTTGGACATTAAAACTACTAAATAATATATAATATAAACTGACCAATTTTTTTTTTCCAAAAATCAACCGATGGGCCGAGTAGAGAGACGACCACACTTCCGGGTCGTCTCTTGAAGAGACGAAAGAGACGACCATCTAGGTCGGAAAACATGGTCRAGACGACCAAACCCCCGTTTTTTTACAACAACACTATTTTTGGAATAAGTTTCCAAAGTTGCATTTTTTTCCATTTTTTTCTAATAAATCTGCATTATTTTAAAAATAAGTTTAATTAAAAACAATATTAAAAAAAATCCCATAAAGATTCCSTTTTAAATTAAATTTTTACTATGTATTTCATAAATAAAATTTTGAACACAATTTTGAAATGTTCCTTGAAATAAATAAAAAAAAGGTAATTGAAATTAGAGTTGTGATCAATTTGGTTCCTAATATTTCAAAAGCAACGTTTTTGGTTTATGAGATTTGGAAAATGGCGTGGTTCGAGTTAATAGAATAATTGGTAATAAATATGGAAATTTAACTTTACCAACTAAAATAGTTTTCAAGCAATAAATCTAAAAAGTAGTAACCAATACTCACAATAGCAACTAATTTCATTTAAACTTTTAGTTTTTACTATGTATTTTTATAAATAAAAATTTGAATACAATTATGTTTCTGGAGTAAAAAGAAAAAAGAAAAAAGAGTAATAGGAAACAGTTACCATAAGTAAAGGAAGTTAGAAAAGTAAGAATAAAATGTGTAATGGAAAATATTTTGAAAGTAAGTGATTTTTGTAAATAATGTGCTAAAATTTTTATTTTAATGTTGTCAATTTATACCATAATTCAATGTTTGGATTAGGGACTCTTGGGACACTATATTTTTTTGGAGTATCGATCATTTTTTTTAAARTACATGGATCAAAAGAACATTTTGAAAATACAGAGACTAAAATAAATAAAAGGTTTTTTTAGTACAACATATAGGGATGGGGTCGAACTCATAACTTACTGGTTGGAGATWTATGTCAATTACCTAAGCTATGCTTACTTTGGCTAAAATGAATAAAAGTTGAAASTATATGGACCAAAATTAACATTTTGAAACTACGGAAACCAAAATAAACCAAAGCTCAAAGTAAAGCCACCAAAATAGTATTTTAACTTCATTAATAATATGTAAATTAATTATAAAAAGCATATTGATTAGTATTACTTAAATTAATCAATTATTTATAATCTTGTTAATTCTTTCTTTTTAAACTTAATGTTTTTGAAATTTATATTTTTAAGGAAAAAATATATTTACAAATAAAAAAATGAAAGGACAAAAAAAAAACATTTTTTGTCCCTAGATTTGGAATTGGAGTTGGGGTCAATTTATCCCTTTTTAGAGTCCACATTATTTCTCATTTACAAGAATATAGAATAAAGATTCCTTTTTTATTTAAATTTTTACTATGTATTTTATAAATAAAAAGTTGAATACAATTTTGAAATGTTTCTTGAAAAAATAGTAATAATTGAAATTGAAGTTGGGATCAGATTTGGAAAATGGTTTGGTTCGAGTTAATACAATAATCGGTAACAAACATGGAAATTTAACTTTACCAACTAAAATAGTTTTCAAGTAACAAATCTAAAAAGTAATATCTAATACTCACAATRGCAACTAATTTTAAGTAATTATTGATACCG